CTCTTTCTTTCTTTCTTTCTTTCTTTCTTTCTTTCTTTCTTTCTTTCTTTCTTTCTTTCTTTCTTTCTTTCTTTCTTTCTTTCTTTCTTTTTCCAGTACTGGGAATTAGATCTACGGATGCTTTACCACTGAGATTTATCTACACACACACAAATTTTGGTTCATGACAGGATTCTGCTAAATTTCCAAGGCTGACCTTGAACTTGTAATCCTCCTGAGTAGGTAGGATCACAGGTGCATACCACCATGCCTGACTCAGCAAGCATGCATATTTTGGACTTAGCATCTTCCATGATTGCGTGAGCCAGTTCCTTAAAATTTCTCTCTCTTAACATATAATAATATAATCTAACCTAGTTTATATAAAGTATACATAGGCTATTGTAGATATCCCTGGACCATTTGGGGACCAAGAGGCACAGGAATTCTTCTTTTGTTTTCTGGAAGCTCTTAGGGATATATTCTTATTGAAACTATGTCCCCAGAGCTGGAGACTGAGAAGATGAGTGGCAAGTATAAGATTTGAACCCAGAGTAAACCACCACGGTAGCCAAGGTTAACAGCACTGGTAATAAAACAGTACCATTTGAGCCCTTTGATATGATGACACCTCATTTTACTGATATTCTTGCCCCAAATGCATTTTCTTATTCCAATCATGAGAAACATTGAAAAAACTCCAAACTTAGGGATCTAACTAATAAGTACTCTTCGAAAGTGTTGCATTCGCTCGAGACAAGGAAGACTGAGGCTCTGCCACAGACTAAGAAGAAATAATAACTAAATGCAGTGTGAGATCATGGATAAAATTCTGCAACAGAAAAAGGACATATTTGGAAGCTTGGGTGAAAGTTTAAACAGTATCTTCAGTTTAGTTAACTAGTGTTCATTTAAATTCATCAATTTCTTTTTTTTTTAATTTTTTTTTTTAGTTGTAGCTGGACACACACCTTTATTTTATTTATTTATTTTTATGTGGTGCTGAGGATCGAACCCAGTGCTTCATACATGCTAAGCAAGTGCTTTACCACTGAGCCACAACCCCAGCCCATAAAGTCACCAATTTCTTGATAACTGGGTTGTGGGTAGGTAAGATATTAGCAGTAGGAAAAACAGGATGAAGAATATAAGGGAACTCTCAGTAC